TTATCGTATAAGTGCAAATTAGCCCTGTTTATCGTAGAATGTTGTATAAAAACATGAACTAATTACCGTTAGCTGCGTCAAACAGTTGTATTATCTGCTCGTTATAATGCAATTTCACTTTTATGGCGTGCACACAGCGTTACGGGCGTAAAGTTATTGACTTCCTTTTATTTAAAATTGCATATCGCCGCGGAGGAATCGATTTGCAAACTCGTGTCGATCGGATCTATAGATCCATACAAAAGCAGGCGAGAAAAAATGGGTGTAATATTAACGCGAAATATTGAAAATACTCGATGGGAAAAGAAACCAGGTTCAAACGCGAAACGAAAGTGGCAAAGGGAACAATAGTTAAAGGTACGAGCGAGAATGGAACTAAATTTCAGACACGACGAGGAAATAATGTCAAAGAAAATCGAATCGAATGTGAAATAAAGGAAATTGACGCAGGGGCGCTATTAACAGGAACGTTAATAAAATAATATAAGAATACTGGTCGACGGAAGGAATAACAAATAGGTCGTTACACAAATACGAAAGAATCAATGGGAACAATAGCCGAGATACAAATGAACATGAGACTGAGTTTTGAAGCAGAATTCAAAGAAAAATAAGGGTTGAAAAGGACGAACGGAAGCAAGGAAAACGAACGACTGGTAAGAAATATAAAAGCGAAGTCTGCAGAGGAAGCGTTAACGAGAAATAATACAGGACGGGGCGTTTAAACCTTTATGTTTGAATATTTTGGGAGCAGGAAAGTCGGGAAACGCGTATGAGAAATTTATCGTGTTTATTTGAAATATATTAAATTCTCAATGCGAAACGATGTATATTATTCGCACAAAATTGTATAAATTATAACGAAGCATGTTAAATTGCTCATAGAAAAGTGTCACAAAACGTTCTAAAGCTAATTTCGACGAAGGAAACGTTAAATTATTCGTGTTATTTTACATTGAAAATTTTTTCTTGCACACCCTTAAATTGTAAAATACTTGGACTCAAAGGGTTCTGTCACTCATTTTACAAAACATCGATGTAAAGAATTTTTCATAATAACTAAATAAAAAATTCGTATTTTCATTGAATAAGAAACAGATGAACGCTTGATTTATTCCTTATCCGTTGTTCGAGATCTGTATTTGGATAAAAATTTCGACTTTGAACTGTTCGAACATCTTGTATCTCGAACGTTCTTTTCAACCCTAACGAAAAAGACGAGTTGTCCGAGTGTCTTGTCGTAAATGCCCCACCCTGTACGAGCAGGCTCATTGACAGGAAAATAAAACACACCGGGAGCAGAACTGCGAGATTGAAACAAAGGAAACTCTATCGGGGAAACGGGAGGGTTGAAAATGACCCGTGAAAAGAAAGAGGAATAAAATGTGAAGGGGGAGAAAACAAGGGTCGTGTAAAAAGCAGTACGCGATAAACGCGTGAAAATCTAAATAAAAGAACGTAGAGGAAAGGGGTAGGAAGGAAGAAGGGATGCTGGCCGCTTGACTTTGGACGAAATAACTCATGGCCACGCGGAAGTGCCCTAGACACGGACAAAGAACGACGTTAACGGCGCCGGAGATAGCGTAACGCGAAGATTCGTTGGAAATAGTGGCGCGAACGCAACAACACTCGGCCACGGAGGGTGGTTTTCTTCGTGTTAAACAAGCCTAGCGTCCATATCAGGGAATTAAGTACGCAGTCGAGTGGAAATTGCATTCAACCGAACGCACGTGATTGTTCCCAGTACTTTCCCACGGACTAATTGTCCAATAAACTCGTTTGGAACTGCGTATTTAAAAATGGATGCGAGACCGTAGCTACAGCCAGTTTGTTCCACATTTTCCACACACCGTTTCCAAACGGAAAGAGGACCAATTATTTTTGTTTTATACATTTGATTCGTACTTGCATTCAGACACTATGTTTACACTTTCACTCGACGCGCGCGATAAGTATGCTATAATAATAACTATACTCCCCGTCGACGGGAAAGAGTATTTATAAATATTTTCAAAGACGTGCACGAGGTTATTGATTTCGTCGTAGTATGATGCAATTTTTTTTTATGCCGTGCAGGAAGACAAAAGAACACGTCGCGTGTGACCTTTTCGAATAAAAATTCTTCCGACAAAACCGCGCGATTATTCCACGGGAGGACCGACGGAACAGAGCTCGTAAACACTCGCGGTATCGAAGGGGGCGCCTCTTTTCAAACAGAAGTTTCGAACAGCCCCAAAACTCCGGGATCGACCTTCGATCGGACGAGTCCTCGGGACACCGACGACAACCCTGACAGGCGTTTTTAATCTCGGTAATTCCAAGTTTTATACGCTGTTAAAAACACTCGTATCGCGGATCTCCAATTCAATAATGCAATTTATCAAGAAAACGAGAGGCAAAGAAAGGGTACGCGGGATCGCCAGAAACCGAACAGAGCCGAGTCTCGCGAGCGCACGAAGCGCTCAGATCGAGGGTCGGAGCGTACGATTCCGAGGCGAATCCTCGACGGGACCCTGGTGGTTATCGATGGAGTGCCAGGAAGGGCTCCGAAACCCGACAACGCGCATCGAAAGCCTAGAACCACCCCTAAACGCAGGAATCTGTCGAGCGCGGTTCGAATTTCAGCGTCGCCTGCCATCTCTCGCGCCACCGCGACGACGGGATCCGGCGGTGGCTCGAGCGTGTCCTTGGACCGCGGAGGATAAACGGGATCCTGGCGGTAACGCGAATCGCGTGTATAATCGGGGACTCACGTTTCTCATCTCGCAGTCGCGACGACCTGCTCACGTGCGGCTGTCCGCTCGTCGCATGGTCGTTGCACCGTCGGCGGTCGTTGCGGCAGCGTTCGGGGCCTCGACGACACAGGTGACGACGACGACGAGGGCGGCGACGGATACCACGACGACGAGGAGGACGATCGACCGCGATGGTGTCGATGGGAGACGAGCAACGGCACGCGGAACACGGAATGGCGAGCACTCGGTGCAATCGCGAAGCACATGCGAGCGACGAGCATCGCCCCAGCTCGGCACCAAGCTCACGACTGACACTCGACCGAGGGCCTAGCCGGGGGTTGCTTCGACTCGAGTTCACCGGTTCAATCGGGGGGGCTAGGGGTTGGCCTAACAGGGGCCGGGGGTGCGCTGCTGACCGAACCCCAACGACGCCTGTCGACCGTTCCACGAACCAAACGGACGACGAGGGCGCAGGCCCCTCCGGTGAATCTCGACGAGGAACCGGGGGTGGCGCGACCGTGGAGCGAGATTTCGGTTAATCGTGCGCGAGAAGGGGATGACGTTTCCGTGTATTCGTTGTTGGAATATTTTTTATTTCGGGGCTGTTGCGTCATTTCGCGGAGAAGGTTTGAATCATGATAGGGGGTGAGATTTTTTGGTGGAGCATTGCACTTCATAATCAAGCGAGGGATGAAGAGATTTTAAATTATAGTAGTAGGATGAAATTCCATGTATGTGTGATATTTTTAATCGGAGTATTGCACGATTGAGCGAACTAGAAATACTTTAAATTTCATATTAGGGGATGGAGTTCTATATATTTGGAGTAACATTTACTTGTACTTAAAATATTCGATATTCTATTAACTAAACTCATTTTGAAAATCGATTTACTGTTATAGAATCGCAAATTGAGATAAAGTTATTTATCTCAATTATTTATTAAGTTACATTTTACACAAATTTAACATGAATGACATTTCATGTATTTGTTGTTAGAATATTTTTCTTAGAATATTGCATTATTCAGTGAACTATGAAGGCAGTTTAAACGACATTAGAGAACGAAACTTTATGTATATGACATATTTTTACTTGGAGTAACGCGACCGAGTAAGCTAGGAAGACACTTTAAATTATCCTGGGTAATGAAATTCTATGCATATGTAATATTTTTAATTGGAGTATTGCACGATCGAGTGAGCTATGATGATACTTTGAATTATACTAGGGGATGAAATTCTATGCATATGTAATATTGTTACTTAGAGTATTGCACGATTGAGTGAACTACGAACACACTTTGAACCATACTAGGGGATGAAATTTTATGTACACGTCGTACTTTTAGACACTTTTAATTATGCTAGGAAATGAAATTCTATGTATTTGGAGTAACATTATTTCTACTTAAAATTTTCGATACTCTACTAAAAAATAAACTCATATCTGAAAACCGAAAATTAATTATCGCATAATAATATTTCATACAAATTTAACGGGTGACATTTCATGCATTTGTTGTTATAATATTTTTCTCAGAATATTGCATGATTCAGTGACTTATGAAGATACTGGAAACGACACTAGGGGATGAAATTCTATATATTTGGAATAACATTATTTCTATTTCAAATAAAAGATCCTATTAAAAGATGAACTCATTTCATTACTGAAGACCAATTTACTTTTATAGCATCTCACATTTCCGAAATAAAATTTAATAAAACCAATGATCATACAGTGACATTTTATACAAATTTAACTCAGATGACATTTCATATATTTGTTATTACAATATTTTTACTCAGAGCATTGTATGATTCAGCGACCAAAGACGACACTGTAACTGGCATGATAATTATTTTAATAACCGATCACACTTTAAGGGATGCAACCCTTACGTATTCGAATTAATGAGTTTCTAGTTAGAATATTAAATACTCCAGAAAGAGATCAGCTTATTTAACAAGATTTTCGTCCCCTCTCAAACTTCAGGACCAATATATAGTAACCTCAATTAATAAATTTTAATTTTATAATTTAAGCGTTAAATTCTATTTTAATAATAATATTTCTATCTAATAAAAAATAAACTTTCATTTAAAAAAATAACCAATTTACTTTTACCGCGAATCAAAGTTAAGGTATACTTAAATAATTATCCAACTATATACTTATACAATATATACTTGGGATAATGGTTAAATTTATAATATTATTTAAAAATTTATATAATATATTTATAATAATATTTCTACTTACAGAACTGGATGCCTTGGCGAGAGACAGAGTCATTTTGAAATAATCCCCTTAATTACTTAATTATTTGTTAGGTGTTAAAGAAAGAGACTGGATCGCTACGCTCGCTCGACACGACTTTTCTCTTCGACGGTTCTGGACTAAATGTCGTACAGTCGTCTTACCAGAAGGCATCGAAACCTTCCCCACCCCGAAGTCGGATCCTTCGGGACAATGCGTTCGTCCTTTACGCAATGCAAAGTCGAGCAATGTCTCGCGTCTTTCAACGTATCCGCGTTTACCCTAAACCTAATTCCGTAGCAACCGTTGGCTACGCGATTTCGAGTCGCCATTGCCAGACGACCATTCGTAAGGGTGATTTGTGACATAGTACCATTCAGTGGGTGTACCATTTCCTGGGGGTAGTTTATGTCACAGCGTTATCCATCCTCCGACCCAGTCATACACCTTTCGAAAGCCAAGTAGCAGCGGTTACGTCCGCCTTAAAAACGCTTTTAAGCGAGCTTTTACGCGACAGGAAAATCATTTAGTCTGTATTTACATTTTTTTATATAGCCTCGAGCACGATCCAATAAAATTTCAGACCGGAATTCGAAAAACGAACGAAGTTACGAGGCTTTCGACTCGAACCTTTAATGCTTGTGACAATCATGCCCATCCATTGTCTGTTTTTGTAATCAGTAAAAAAAGAAGAAATGCTGATCACCAAAGAGAACATCGAATAAAATTTCGTTTGAACAAACGAAGAAATGTTACAATTTAACTAGAACCGTTGCAAAACGAAGTAGGTTGAGAACGTCTTGTCAGTGGATTATTGTATAGTGCAAAGTTAATGAATACAAGGTTACTCGAACTGCTTAAAATATAGCGGTTTAAGGTACTCTGTCTTGTATGGTTTTCTGACAGATTCGTGCTGATTCACACGTATTGAAGCTTCGATCGACTCGTGGAAAACGCTGCAATTGCTAAAATTGAAAAATTTTGTTCCCCCGTCGAGGAAAGAAATGAAAAAATAAATAATTATTTGTTCCTTACTAAAATTTTATAATAATCTGCTTGAAAATAAGAATATATATTTTCAATCTTCCATGCTAGTAATCTGGGAATAAACACGATAAATGAACAGCATATCAGACGTTTTAATTAAACATTCAATTTTGTAATACATTTGGGTTATCGTATTCCTAATCACATTTACCAACAAAAATAAATGAAATTCTTTAGGTAATTTGAAAACAAATAACATCCTTTTAACAAAATTTAATTTTCGTTATTTACAGTGTTTTCTACGAGTACTCTTCGATCAGTCAATAAATTAAAAAGGTTCGAACGAACGGAATGGCGGTACAAAACATTGAGAAATAGTTTTTTATCGTGAAAAGTAGAATGCGTTCGCGTAATAAATTCAACGATAGGACAACCGCGGCTACCTAGATGCAGTCACGGTTAATTCCACGACGCAGTAGAAACTGTCGATCATGGTTAGACACGCGATGCTGGTGTTAACTCTCTAAATTAAAACTGTGACGTGATGCTTGATGTGCGACGGACAACTGCAAAAGCATGCGTGTAAACACTCTCGCGATCGAAACGCTGGATGCAAAAATTCTCTAAACAAATGTCCAACGTCACTCTCGCGTGGAACAGTGATTTTTAATATTTTCTTTTTCTTTTTTCCGTGTACCCTTTCTACGAAAGCAGGTCGATCACTAAAATCATGAACAACGCAATTTAATAAATTTTAACCTGCATTTGATCACCTCGAGTGTCTAGTTTGAACAAATTTTCAGTTCCCGTCAATCAGTGGTTCTAAATAAAATTGATTATCTTTTGTTGTAATAAAAAATAGACACTATTATACCATTCGATTTTGCCCTCAATTCGAGATACAACTCGTCCCAATTGCGCAATTCACCCTGTATACACCCTGTTATTTGGTAAATGAGCTTTGTTCTGTAATATTTAAACAATGTAACAATCACATGTAATCCTTTTGTGTTTGCTCAGAGAGGGTATTTTAGCTGTTCGTTAGATTTACGACGAGATTTACGATAGAAGTGTTCAATTTACGAATCACGTTCATTTTACGAATCGTTACTGTAACTTGAAAATAGGGTCGAATAGGACATACGTTTACACGGATTTTCGTTATTGTTTTCTCGGTGTAGAATCGAATTGGAAACGACTTACAGCCATCCGCGTATTAAAGATTCGCGCGACTTCCAAGGTCGTCGATGAGGGGTTGAAATCAAGCAATGGCCGCATATTTTAAATAACCGACGCAACGATCGCGTCAACCGTTGGCACGCGGCGATCAGGAATTGATACACGGAACCAGTTAAGCCTCCGTCGGCATGCACGTTCGAATTCCTCGAGGTTCGCCAGCTCTGACGTAAGCACGACCTTGAGCCAGTTCGCGCGTGACTAACCCCGCGGTTTCCTCGAGGAAGCTCTCTCGCCCTTATCGCATCGATCGGTGCCGTGGAAAGGGGGTGGTTTATCGCCCTTACCCGGTCTTTGCTGAATGATCGCGAGCCATCGGTCGAAACCGTTGGTCCCGCTTAGCATAGAGGAACGTGGTGCACCTACCTGACTGCCGTTGGGGTACTTGCACCCTCCGCGGAACGTATCAACAGGTTCGCGTGCCGGATGTGCTGGCATACCGGAAGTCATCAGCGAGGCCACGCGGCACGGTTTCCACTTCGCGCGGTTACGATCTGATCATCCCGCCCGTCGAGATAGGCGCTCGTTAAAGTTATTCCCCGATGGTCCGGATAAGCGGTGGTTGCACTGGGATAGCTGCAGGATATCTGGGGGCCTTTGATAGGAAACAGACGACGGTTAGAATGGGGAAACAGTCGCTGGAAGATGACGGATTTGGTAAAAGGACTAGGAAAGGACTGAATAGGCGGAAGAAAGAATGATTAGACCTATTCTTCATGGGAACGTGTAGGAATATGTCTTGATTGGCATTGGGTAAAAGAGCTATGGAAAGAGATAGATCCATTAGTAGAAAGTAAAAAATGTAGGTTTTGGTAGATTAACCGTGTGGTCCTGGTGGTAGTTGAATGGAAGAATTTAATACGAGAATACGCTCAACCTAATTGTATAGACCTGATTGCAATTGGTTAAGAGATAGTTTTGATTAATCTTCAAGACATGCTTAGAATTTGATAAAAGAAGAATCAATTTTATCTATTCTGCCAAGAGATATGTAAGAATGGAAATGGGACAATGTAGTGGACTTTACGTGAGAGCCTGACTTCTATTGCAATTGGGTAGGAGGATGTAAAGTGATAAAAATTGGAAGAATGGCTCGATTAGGAACGATTGGAATTCGACAAACGGACGGATAAGTTTCTCTGAAACGCTCGATCGTTATCGGAATCGTAGAATCGTCGGTATGAAATTAGGCGAGGAAAATGACTCGCAGGAAAACGCTGAATAAAATTGTAGGCCATCTATTGTCACTTTTATCGACTCGTATTACACACAACTTGTGCCAATTTCAGTACGGAATTGACGCGTACACGAACAAATACAACTACTTAGACGATTGGAGGAGATTAGGGTCGATAGAGGTAAGTACAAAATTGCCTAAGCTAAACGATGCATCAAGAATCCAAACCCGACGACGCGAATCGACAAGCCTCGACGGGTTTGGACCCCGCCACTATTATTCTGTGCTCCTTGTTGTCCTATTACGAATGCATGCAGGTCCTTGTAAAAATATATCAACGTACGTTCACACGTTCTATCACGTGTCACCTAGCTTCGATATCTGAACGAGTATTCGGATCTTTTTTTGTCATCGCCCCTCGAAACGCATGCTCGATTTCGGTTTTCTGTTTTTATTCCAAAGCCGAAATGAGAGAGATTCCAATATCACAGAATTGAATTTCTCTGCGCCACGCGTCGTCGCGGCCGCGTAGCTAGAAAAATTAATCGCGGAATGGACGAATGGGGTATCGCTTCAACAATTTTTTTTTCGACCCAGTTTTTCTGCAAACGAAGAGAAAATGTAATTGACGATTTTTCATTTGGGATTCACTTGGTCCGCTCGGTCGATCGTTCACGCTCGAAGCCGCGCTACGGAACTAAAGGTATGTACAAAATCACAATGATCTTCCCGCGGACATGTATCGTTCGCGTAACTCGTCGCGAAATTCCCGTCTCCCGTAATCTCGTGGAATCCGCGCAAGGTACATATATATAAATACACGTGACTACACACGAACACGCTAAATTCGCGGCACCTCACCTCAACTACTGTCTCCCGTCGACTTATCTTTGTTCGTTTCGCACGTGCGTCGATAAGAGACCTATGACTCACGCTAAACGTACCCTAACGCTAAATTAGTCCGCAAAATCGCGTAATAACATTAATGTCGAACTCGAGTACCGTGTATTGCGGGTAACAGCGTTGCGCTAACGCGAGTGTGCGCCCGGTAACAAAAAAAAAGAAAAAAAAACCGAAGGAGAAAATAAACCTTGTGGTGTCTCAGCCTTGGTGCACCGCTTTCGTCGCTGTTTGTCACTCTGAACCTGGCGATCGAACGTTCTTACTGTCATGGTTATAAAAAAACGAAACGTGGTAAACGCACCATCGTAACGTAATGAGATTCGATTTTGGGCTTTCGACGAAAACGTTCTCGATGAATGAGTCTTCCAAGATCACTCCGAACTGCTTTTAAACTTTCGTCGTGATTGCATCGTTAGTCCAATCCTTAAACTAATCAGCACTACCGCTTGTGGCTGAGGCTCGTCTTGCTCTTCGGGCTATCCGTCGCCGTGTCGTTAGGCTCCCTTCTAGGTCGTAGGATGAAGTTCAGGTTGTGCGCGGTGTTCACGGCGTAATAAACGTTCGCGGAGTTTGGCAATACCAATTCACGATCGGGCAACACCTGGGCCAGCGTGTACTGATCGGGGCTGCCTTCTATTCCCAGTTTGAGCATCGCGTTTCGTATCACTTGCGGCGTTCTCTCGTTGTTCGAGAGCATGATTGACTTGTAGAGCACCACACCGTCTGTCTCGACGTTGTCGGTCTCCATGGTTACCTTGATGATGTAGAAATCCGGTGAGCTTTTGTGCGAGTGGCTCGGACTGGACAGACCGACGAGATTCGGACTGGTGCCGTTGGCGGTGATGGCGGTCGGCGGCGCTAATCGGTTGTGCTGGTTGCCCACGGCTCCGTTACCGCCCCCAGAGCTCAGAGATACGTCCAGGGATGGTAACGATGAACTGGACGAGGAGCTGGACATCTGGGACGGCGAGGTTCGTCGGTCGAGAGAGTTATGAGGCGAGCTGGGCAACGAATCCAGGTCGCAGTAGAACTGAGAGCTGCTGGAACTCGACGTGGAGGCTATCGAGTCGTTTTTACGGTGTCCCTGATGATTCTGAAAGCACAAATCTCAACTGAGTCTTTGAGACCAAAGCACGGATCGATCTGTCAACCAAGGCGATTTTCAACTAAAACTATTTTCTTGAAAAAATGACACAACATATTGAGATTACTCTGGATAAACGATTGTCTTACTTGGTACTATTGTACTACCCACAAGCTAAACGACACAAGAGGCAAAGGGAATCCGTACACTCCACCTAATCCCCTCCATTGTTTAGGTTCTTGACTTGTTTAAGGGTTCGTGATCGACTTATCGTATAATAACCAAGAACCTAACAAGCGGAGAGAATTACATGGATCGTGTTGACGATTCCCCTTGCCTCTTGCGTCGTTTAGTTTGTAGGTAGCATCATCTCGTCTCCCAATAGTAATCCCTTCTCAAGTTCTTTGTCTTCTGTTCGTGGCGTAACTCAGAATACTAACTATTTTTCGCTCGATTAACAGATTTAGGAAACAAGGTGTGTACTGACCTGCTTCTTCTTGCCCCGGTTGCTCAGAGTATTGCCAGGCGGCGGTGGCTCGATCTGGCAGCTCAGTTTATACGCCTCTCGATCGTCCAACACCACCACGGAGTGGAACCAACGATCGAACAGGGGGTCCGTGTTGAAGCTGTATGCGTTCGCCGCGCCCTGGAGCAACCTTATCCTGGCCAGAACCTCGAACTCCTTTCGCCTCTTGTCGAAATTGATCAGACCTTCGGCTATCGTATCCGGTATCGCGGTGTCGATCATCGTCAGGTCCGTCAAGAAGGTTCCCAAATACGGAATCGTTCCATAGCTGATGTTCTGAATTTTAAAAAATCATCCATTGGTACAGCAACAAAAGCATGTATCAAATTGGGTTTGAGCGAATCAGAGAAATTGTAGGTATATTAGAAGCCAAAATATAGTCAAATCGACACTCAGGATTGATGAGAAAGTAAACAAATGTGTTATGCTTCGGCTTTTCCTACACTGTTTGTGTTTTCTTTTGGCTCTCTTTGCTATCTAATTTAACTTTATCTTTTTTCTTTAGATTGTATTACATGAAACCAATTAAACTTTCAACCTCGCTGTATCTTGACCTCTACAATAACAGGGGGTCAGAAAAGAAACTGATAGGGAAGTGAGTATAATTAATTTGGGATAAGGGTAGAGAAAAGAGAATTTCACTTACACCAGCATGAGTGTTCTGTTTCTGGAACAATTTCTGCAGGTGTCTGTCGCTCCTGCCGGCCGTGTCCGCGAACTTGGCGGTGCCCTCCTTGATCAGAAGCTCCCTTTGCGTGCACGCGTTGTTCTCTTCCGAGAATATTCTCTCCAGTTCCCTGAAAAGCTCGTGCTTCTCTCTGGGCATACATTGCCAGCACTTCTCCAACCTGTACACGGGATTGCTTTGCAGGCCGGACACGATAGCTTTCAGGCTACTGAAGTTCTTGAGGATACGCAGCTCTTGAGCAATGTCGATCCACGTCTCCAGGATTCGCGCGCGTTCCTGACTCTTCGTCGACGGTTCTATCAGGATCGTGGAGATGACGCGAAGCGACACGGCGTTGAATTGATTCACGGTCGCCAGCACGGTGGCCGCGTCGTGGCTCCTCGAGCGATCTCGTCTCGACCAAACAGCACCCAGACACTGATGAGCCACCAGCTTCTTGAACACCTCCGCGTCCATGCGGGTCAACTGCTCGGCAAAATGACGGTGGGGAACCTCAGGGAAGTTGTAAGTCGCCCAGGGTTCGACGATAGGTTCCGGTGAGCCACGCGGCAGTCGGCCATTATCGTAGACCAGGCACGAGTCTGGAAAGAAACGATCGTAAGTTTCAGCGAATCGGTCCGCTTGGTCTGCATAAATGCGTACATTCTATGAGCAACGTATCGATGAATCAAACACATGACTCCACGTTTTTGCTTTTATCTGAAGGAACTTCAACTCTGCGATAGGGAGCATAGTAAACATCCGCTTTGCTTCGTGTAATTTTACTATACAATCACGCGATATATAGACACAGACGAGGTATACGAGATCTTGCATCCAATGTATTTATTCGATCCATTTTTCTCAAAATATTTCTGGCCACGCATATTTTCGGTGAAGAATTTTTTTTTAGAAAGTGGGTAGGATTTCGGGGATATGTCTATTAACCAAAAATGATTGTAATTCACCCCCGCAATCGAAAATAATTTTTCCAGAACGATTTGAAATTTTTTAATTTTGTCGAAAAATTTGTCCATCTACTGAATTTATTTCTCGCAAGTGGATAGGATTTCGGGGGTAAGTGTATTTACCAAAAATGATCTCAATTGACCCCCGCAACCGAAAATAATTTTTTCAGAACGATTTGAAATTTTTTAATTTTGTCGAAAAATTTGTCCAGCAACTGAATTTTTTTCTTGAAAGTGGATAGGATTTCGGGGATAAGTCTAATCACCAAAAATAATTGTAATTGATCCCCGGAACCGAAAATAATTTTTCCAGAACAATTTGAAATTTTTGAATTTTGTCGAAAAATTTGTCCACCTACTGAATTTTTTTCTCGAAAATGGACAGGATTTCGGGGGTAAGTGTATTTACCAAAAATGATTGCAATTGACTCCCACAGCTAAAAATAATTTTTTCAGAACGATTTGAAATTTTATTTTCTTTCGCCGAAAAAATTAGGCACCTATTCGAATTTTTTTCTCAAAAGTGCGTCGAATTTCGGGGGTATGTCTATTCACCGAAAATGATTGTAATCGATCCCTGCTACTAAAAATAATATTTTAGAACGATTTGAAATTTTTTTTCTTCGCAGAGAAATTTAGGCAACCATCTGTCGATTTTTCTTAAATATTCATTTTTGATTTTTAATAATTTTGTTTGACGCTATACAGAAAAGTTGTCTAATACTTTTCTGTAGGTACCTATGAGCTCTACTTCAGAAAAAAAATTTCACGGAAATATATTCACTATTATAGAAGTTATACCCGTTTGAAAATTGGACCATTTTTCTGGAGTTTTTCTCACCTTACGGGGTTAAAGAACAACTTTTCGAATATTTTTGAAATTTCTACATATTCTTCGCCAAAATACGCGTTGTTTGCGTTTCGAAACATTCAAATCGTCCAATCCGTTCAGGAGTTATGATGTTTTAAAGATACGCATGAAAATTTTTGGCCATATTTTCGGTAAGGAATTTTTTTCTCGAAAGTGAGTAGGACTTCGGGAGTATGTCTATTCACCAAAAATGATCATAATTAACCCCCACAACCGAAAATAATTTTTCCAGAGCGATTTGAAATTTTTGAATTTTGTCGAAAAATTTAGGCACCTACTCGAATTTCTTTCTCAAATGAAAACACACTTATGGAATATACTGTGTAAACGATACCAGTGATAATACTGACATTGTTTTCTATAAAACCTAACTTACAAATATGTTCGGTTTGAGTTAGGTACAGTATCGGATAAATGTATTCAAAGGTAAACATTGTTGTTGATGTTTGTTGTTCTTACGCTCTTACGAACTTGTTGCTTCGTGAAATGTTTACAATTGGCTCGACGTTAAGCGACGCGAAGATCAGACTAAGATATCTACGTATTGTAAGAAGCATAAATTAAAATCTCAAATATAATATTTATACGAGGGAAAAATTTTCCAAAAATTTAAAAGAGAAATGGTTTAACAAAGGACGTTCAGCAAGAAAGAGAATAGAATTAAACGCAAAGTCGTTGTACGAACCGTCCAAGAAAGTTTGCGACATTTTCTGTACCATTTTCGTGGCGTCCCATTTCACAGTACAAGAGTTTTACAAAAGTTAATCAGCATCTTTCATCTTTCATCTTTCTCGAGTCTACAAAATTGCTAACTCAGGGAAAAGATTTGTAACAAGGAGATTGTTAAAGAAGTACGGCTGTAATTGCAGAATACAAAACGCCGCTACAAGGGAATAGTTTCTGGAGCAAGGTTGTTGAAGTTGATGGAGCGTATGTATAAAATATGAGGTGTACAACTACATTCAATCGCTCTATGAGGATGTTCAAACAATTATGCAGGCTTGCAGTATAACATGGCCAGTTTAAATGCATGCAGTCGGCCTGACTGCTGAAGTTAAAAGAAAATTATACAGTTCTGTCGTCCGATCAGTAATTACGCGAATGTCAAGAACACCTTCATTTTTCAAAATTATACACTTTTCTCGTACGTGTAAAAGAAATTTATCTATTCGAAGCAACTTAATCTACGTTTTCAGCTTGGAATTAGTGACATGATTTTATCTCTGAACGTCGTAGAACACCGATCGAACATTGTAGTTTCACACTGAAAATGCTGCGAAATATCGATATAACGTCTGGTAAATGACTCATCAGAACTAGGTACATGTGTTAACTCGCTTAATTCATCTTGACGCATGCTGTAAGACGAATGCAACAATAATATAACAACGCTTAGAAAACTTGAAGTACCCGCGAAAACATACTAATTTCAGAGTCAAAATTCCGCTTCTAAAATGGACGATAAAATGGTCTCCGATGGTCGAGAACGTAACAGGGTGTACACGGTATCATTACGGAGTGTCTTATTAGTACAAAAATTTAAAAGTCCGTTTTATTTAAATGCAAAAATATATATTATTATTACCACGTTCTTATGGTTGAATAGAAATTCATTAATATAAAATATGTAGACGTTTACACCTCTTTTGCAGAGCCGTATTTAACACTGGAACTACCAAACCAGTCAAAATGACCCATTCGTAATTTCTAATAAAACCTGGAATTTTTGAAAATTTATCTAATAGTAAACACTTATTTCCATTGCGTTATACATTTCTTCACGCACCTATCGTTTCAATCTCCTTGATACAAATAAACACACTATAACTGTCGGTAGTTCTAGTGTTAAACAGTATAGACAAAGTTTTCTTGCTTGGGATTTGTTATTGTCTCGTTGAATATAAATAAAAAAAATTTAATGTTTGAAAAAATGGATATATATATCTAGTGTTAAATATAAGGTATGAATGTATAGATTGAAATTAAAAAAAAAACTAATTTTAGTTGAATTGGTTTGTTACCTATTTGATCTTCACGTTGGAATCTGTGCAAGCGATGCCTTGCCTTGAGCTCGAGCTCCGAGCCAGGAAGCCGTCGATGCGTGAAGTCCAAGAGTCGAGTGAGCAGAGGATGACTCGGTGCCGATTTCCAGTCACCGGGATACGCGTCCAACCAGACGTGAAGCGCTTGCACGAGGGTCTTTCGATGCTGTTCACCTGTCAGGGCGCCGGATCCCTCGTCGAGGGCGTCGTACCTCGCTAACAATAGCTCCAGAACTTCTCGCGGCGTCGTGAACGCACGATAAGTCGCCAAAAAGACATTGATGTACGTAGACTCGAGCTCCCCGTCGTCGTTTGCCAAACTCTCCACCAGCCGTTGCACGGTGCCGGCTTTCAGGAAACGAACCCTCACCGTCTCCCATTCTAGGTGCGAAATTTCGTCGTCCGAGTCCTGCGGAAAGGAAACCGTTTACAGTGACACGATTAAACGGTGGCACTCGTAGATTCCGAACCAACATTAGGAGATTTACTTCTTCTCGTTACCGATCTTTTTATTCGTGGCTTTCGCGATATGGATATCCCTAATTTGTTTTAATAGGGAAATTCAATATTTTTTTTTTTTCTTCACGAGTTTAGAGTCGTATCAACAACAGGGGTTATTAGCAACTATTATTGGCCCGATTTTTATCTTGTCTATAGTAGTTATTTGGTTGGGAATTTATGGAGGAAAGTTTATAGGATTAGCGGAGGGTGGTGTCGTAGTCTTCATAGATTGTTTAGAAATTCAATATTAAGTGTGTGTGATAAATATTTTATTCTAATTTGTTCTAGTCCGCTTATTTTTTTTTCTATTTTATTAAACTGTTTACAGTGGTGAAAATTGTACCTCTCAGTGTGTTTCAATTATTCAGAATCGATTTGTATTGACATTAGAGATTATTTATGTATTTTCTCAAGCTGGTCAACCACCCATCCCAAAATACTGTGTTGTTGGTACTCTCAACAGCGCCCATGCAGCTTCACTTCTTCGGTGACCGTACGAGGAGAACTGGGTTGTTTTCAACGTGCCACGTTGACAATTTTTATTGTTAATTTATGTGTAAAGTGGTTTTCTTTAAATAATAACTGGGTCAAGTAATGCTCAATTACAATCCCGCTAAAGGTATGAACAATATAAACCGTATAAAAATCAACAATACGTGGGTTTTTTCCCCCAAGCGGTCACCCCCCTCCCAGTGTTGACCGCGCCCAATGAAGCTGCACTTCGGTGATCGAACGAGAACTCGCGTTTCCGACGCGGCACGACCGTCGACAAATTTAATTGTTAATTCATTTACATATAAACCCTTAGATGTCTCAATGTATATAAAAAAATGAACTCCTACCAGTCTCAAAAAATAATTTTCTTTCATTTATCGCTATTGTATTGTAGGAATACGAATAGGAGTATCTGTAGACGCGTTTTAGGACCAACGAACGAACCAATTGTTTACCTTTAATTTTCGAAAGCATTTTAACACTTTGACGCTGTCACGTATATGTGACTTTGAGAGCCAGCAGACGTCGGCCACTGTCACGTGCGCGTGATCTACTGTATCAGTTACCATTTCATCGTACATTTAACTGATTACGTTTGTTGAGGTTACATTTATAATTCCTTATAATTAGACTGCGGATGTTTATGCATTTATGGGAAATTTTAATCCTCAAAAAACTACAGAATGCATTTAATATGCAAAAATATAAGAAATACTTAAAGTAAGATACGAATTATTATATTTAGGGGTTGAGACAGCCCTCTGCGAAGCTTCCGTTTCATTAATTTGCATAAAGATCCGCAGTCTACTTATAATAATATTCCTAGCATCTTCGTGTATCGTCACTTTGGTGATGGACAACGGTTTTCGCGTGATAAGTGCGGCCGTGAAAGTGTTAAAAGGTGTTTGAAAAGGTTGTGAGAGACAACTTACCGATGCGGAGAGGCTCCTGGTGGGTCGATGATAACGGACCTTCTTCAGGTACACTGTGTATATGACGCCATCACCCCTTTCCTCGCCCCATAAGCGCCACGTGGGCTGGAAAGTAAAAGCAAACGTCAAAGTTACGGGCGGAAAAGAGTCGGACAACTGGCGAAAATCGGTGGGCGTCGACGAGTGCGCTCCGTGCCGGGCAAAAGTGGCGCTCCAGGGGATGATTTACGTCGCTAATTTTATGGGCTACCCCCTGTCACGAGCAACGGGTCCCTCTAATAGGAGACGAGCTAATCAATGGATACCGTGCAGCCGGCAGATTTATTGAAATAATTGACTTCCCAGGGCGAAATTGACCTCGACCGTTCGTTTCACGGCTTGGATCGCGATTAGCCGGATGAAACGCTTTATTCTCGCATCGCGGACTCCTTGGTACTTGGAGAGAACGCCGGTGCAATCGTCCGGATGATTCTGTAATCGTCTCGCATTTCTCGCTGGGATTCATGAATGACGTTCCTGGAGGATTCCGGAATCTTTTAATCAGCCCGTTAAGAGACGTCAATTCGCTAATTCCAAGTAGTACTTCTCGCGTATCTTTGGATCAATTAGAAGGGATCCGTTGACTCGAGTTAGGTCACGTTAATAAAAATATAATGGAAAGTAACCGGTGGGCAAACCGTTATTCCAACTTTTATTTGTACAATTTATTATTCTGATTTCAATATCTGGAGCTGTTTGGTTCAATGTTTTACGACAATAAGAGTAATCCGTATCGAGAGAATTAATCACGGTCCGTTGAAAAGTTCACCGTCGATGTTGACGAATCTTCGAGGGGCAAAGATTAAAGAAACTCGTCGGGGAATTGGAATTCTCGGTAACTCTCGGTAGAATAAATACAGCTAACACGGGATCTTTTCAGGTTCGAGACTTCAATTTCTATGCAAAGCCCTCCGGGGTCTTCCTCGAGGGTCTGATTATCATATAAATAGCAATTCTTTGTTTCGTATTAACTACTAATTCGATAGCTTTCGGAACGGTACGAGCATAAGTTCGACAAAAATATTCTTACGCCAGGCTGTCGAATGCAAATCTTCCTACGAACGTTTTCAGAAGCAATTTCGAACGAAGACAAAGTTATTTGGAGCTTCCATCGTGGAACGATAATTTAAATTATACATTTTAAAATTAACGTTGCAAAGTAAAATATCTTCGATTCTGCTCAGATAACGCGACACGTTGAATTTCGAGTTCCTCGAATATTCCGTGAAACGTTTCCACGATGGTCGGTGCACGACGGTTTTCGACGCTACCAAGGGGGGAAAGAGCCATTCGAGTAGATCCTGTAATTATTTTCAGCAGTGTGCTTGGAATTCCGAGCGCCAGACGATGATTACGAGCTTTCTCAGACTTCTGAAACGTTCTCAAACGCGCGTGCTCGGCCGTCTCCCTTTTGACGCCCCGTGGAAACCAGAAAACCAGGCGGGATCCTCGTTTCCACGTCCATGCAGAAACGAAACGAGCGAAGCGCGGACAAAAGGAGACGCACAAAAGCAACTACAAGCAGCGTGCTCGACGCAGGTCCATGCACACGCGAATAGATTTCACGACAAATAAACACGGTACCTTGTATCTTGCACGGTTTGCTTCCGGTGGCCCCGGTAATATCATCGTTGGAACGATAAACACCGTGTTAGGGAACACCGGAGATCCTTGTGCCGCCTACTTACACGCTCTGCCTTTAGATTCTTAACCCATTATAAGCCAGTGTCCTATTTACAGGACACTAAGCATTTTATTTATTTTCAACCCTTAAAATTGGTTCAAATTAAATTGAAAAATTTATCACACACATTTTAGGGTGTATTAAACTAAATTATAATTATTGTTGTATTATATTGTCAATATTCTTTTAATAAAAAAATTATATACATTGCATAAATTTTCTTACTTTGTCTCGAATTATATACTCGATCATTAAAACTCCGTATTGTCACTTTTTTCATCTTCTAATGTGTTATTCCTATTGGAGAGTGATTATTCAAGATTGTTGTAAACTTTGTTTATGTATTTTTAGCAAAAACTCGTATTGGTTACAAGTTTTATGCAGCTGTCCTATAAATAGAACACTGGTACTTATTTAAATATTAAATTGTAAATTTATTATGAAATTTAATATAAATGCAAAATATGATAAATAGTGAATATACAAAATATGGAATTTTCGAAAAAGAATTGTCAATTGAGAAAAAGATTCTGAGATATTTTGGACACAACTCATTGAAACAATTTATACGTGGAAAGCCTATTATTTGGCTACAAATTTTGGGCACTTTGCGGAAGCAGCGGATATTGTCATAATTTTGAGTTATACAGGATCATCGGCCAACCCTGGGAAAAATTTTAATGGGGGATTCTAAAGGCAAAAATAAGATGAAAATCAAGAATACCAATTTGTTGATGGAGGCTTCGTTAAAAAGTTATTAACGTTTAAAGTTGCACCCGTACTGAATTTTTTTCTCGAAAATGCGCAAGATTTCGGGGATATGTCCATTCACCAATAATAATTGTAATTAACCCCCGTAATCGAAAATAATTTTTCCAGAACGATTTGACATTTTTTTTTCCGTCGAAAAATTTCACACCTTCTCGAATTTTTTTCTAGAAAGTGGGTAAGATTTCGGGGGTATGTCTACTCACCAAAAATGATTGTAATTGACCCCCGCAACCGAAAATAATTTTTTTAGAACGATTTGACATTTTTTTCCCCGTCGAAAAATTTCACACCTTCTCGAATTTTTTTCTAGAAAGTGGGTAAGATTTCGGGGGTATGTCTACTCACCAAAAATGATTGTAATTGATCCCCGCAACCGAAGATAATTTTTTTAGAACGATTTGAAAAATTTTTTTTTCGCCGAAAAAAATTTATAATTGTTTATAATTGTTTTCAATACTTTCATATACATATACTATACACTTGCAATTCTGATAGCAGTAAGTCCCAGCGTCCTATTTATAGGACAGGCCAAAATTCAAAAATGTGAGGATGGAAAAAATTTTTGAAAATATTTTCTTATTCTGGGCAAGGTTACTAATAAATCTGAATAAGTGACATTTTGAAATTTGAAAAAATAATAATTTGGGCGTTATTGGGTTAATTCTCGTTCCACCCTTGTGACAACAATCGGAATACCACAGAAAAAAAATTTGTGCTCATAATGTCGCAAAGTCGTTTCGAATTGATATTAAATATAAAAATTCACAGAGAAACTATCGACTACCCATATATTTTTTCGTTAGTAAGTTCCATGGAATATAACATTTTTTAGAGAGATTATTTAATATTAATAGAAGACGATTCTTATATTTTGCACGTCCATTAACGGGTGTTAAATCCTCAGGTATCGTTAATATTCATGGCGGCTGTTTCAGCCTTTTCACCTTATGGAAACTCGTAGCATAACAAGACGCTTGAACGAATGAAAAAAGAAACTGAATTTAAATAACTTTCTGTGTCGTGGTGCTAAAATTTGGTTAACAAATTAATAGTAACGTTATCTGATTTGCAACGTTGTTAATAATAAGGTCGAACGACCCGGTAACCAATGAGGAATTTAAATCTTCGATTAACAGAATAAATAAAATTTTGCAAAAGTTTTGCGATAAATATTCCATCGTTGCGATCGTGGTTAAAAGTGATCGAAAATTTGGAGTAAATCGTTTGATCGATTGCATATCGATTCTATGGTTTCGTTTCGATGAACATGAATTTTTAAATTTCAATGTTGCTAATTTGATAAAAAACGAAAGAGCAAAAAGGTCAATCTTCCGGTATCGTTCGACTTTATCTTCTGCAACTTTTTTTCTATCTCTAGCCAAACAGGAGATATGAGTCGACCCTATTGCATGACTCACTCTGTACACAGGATGTAAAATAGTACAGTAGATTCAGGACTATTCAAATATTTTATAGGTATTCGAATACTACGAATAAACAACTACGAATAAACATCTAATATTATTATTCAAATGGATCTATATTATAATTTATCTTCGAATCTTAGGCAAATATATTTTTAATATAGAGAACAATACTTTATTATGTGTACCCTTATCTATCACGTTTGATTTACCAATATTCTGTTGTTTATTTGCACTATTTGAGACAACAATCTTTAAAGCTGGAAATATAAGATTTTATAAGAATTTTGTCGAAAATATAATATGAGATCGAGTATACGAATGAACCAGTTATGGTGATTGAAATATTCTTAGAAGATGATCGATAATCTGTATGTACATACATATATAAACATATATGAATACAGTCGTATGTAAATATATACAAATACAACGGCTCCTTTCCGTAATATATCCTACATTAGCGTAAGATAAGGCATCAGATCACTGTGAACATGTTTAATACCAAAATTGCTAATTCAATATTGTTATAAAATTTATTTTATTGTACCATTATACTTAGCAGGGGGGTCAATATTTATTCTCGTCAGTATTGTTCATCATAATATAAAAAGACTCTAGAAATATCTCTAGAACAATGTATAGTCCGGGTCACGATATAGCGAGGTCCTAAACTCGAGTAGGTGTCAAAGTTAATACGTTTCAGCACCCAAAACAAGTGTATTGACAGAAATATGAAGCAGCTAAGGGCCTTAGACCATAGTCAGACCCGTACGAAGAAATGTTTTATCCAGTGTCGCCACTTTTAGAAATTTTACCTGCTTATAATATATGTATGAAGAAAATGAAAAAAGGTAGTGCAGTTACGGTCATAGAAAGACATTCAGAAAGGCACCCTCAAGCAAGATGTTAAGTCTTCTTTGAAATATTAAGCTTTTTGCTCTGAGGTCTGCCATTTTTCCAATTTTTAATTGTCTTTCAATATCTTCGGTTCATCCATTTACTATTGTTATATACTAATCATATTTCGTTGCTTAGCAGATTCGGATAATAAAAACCGACACTAGAATGTACACCGTTTTAGACGTCTTGCGACGCTTCTAGCAAATCATGCTGTATCTCCGCCAGTCTGCATTTTATTTGGACAAAAAAAATTGCAAAATAAAATTGAAGTATATTCTAAATAG